TAGCGTTACACAAATAATAGATAGATCAATGAAAAATCGCTGACTTTAGTTTTGAAATGCCGTTGTAGAAAAAAAATGTCATTATTGATTTATTAATTTCTTCATACAGATTTTACAAATTTAACAAACAAATTATGCAAATAAGATGTATTGTTATGTAAATTAGCCGCGATGCTTGGCTTAGAGTCTGGGGAGAACACTGTGTATGCCTAACACCAAAGCATTAGGAATAAGTGGTTAGTTGAAATTCCATTTTTAACCAAAAATGACAAAAATATTTGCCAAAATTAGAAGAATTAAAGATATGGGATGAACAAACCTAGTAGATGTCAACACAAGGTACATACACACCAAGTATCAAAGCATTCAGGCTACCGGATTTGAAGAAGAATGACCATTTTAAAATAGTCTTGAACTGAAATCAGGTCGGGTCATAACAGCCGTTTTTTTCTTTATTTTCGCCTTGAGTTTCTACCTTTCTCCTGTCGATGGGTCCCGAAACTATTTCATCAATTATTTTGAGGGCGATGGTTCGAAATTGGTCTATTTTACGTCGAAAACCGCGGAAAACTACAGCGAAATCCCTGTGTTTGCCGCCAGTTCGATAAAATAGGGTAATCACAAAGGATGGAACTGTAGCTCCATGGTTTCGCCTTAACACCACGACGAACGAAATAACCGACAGCGAAACCAAGTGAGCTACAGAACTGCAGCTAGGTTCAACCACGGTTTTGTTCCACACAACCACACTATTTCGTCGGTCCCAAGAGTTCCACAACATCCATAATCACTTTAGTTCAGTCTTTGGAAGGAATTCAGTCGATTTAACAGGAGAATCGACCTGCCCACACAGACGGAAACAATTTGACTGTCCGACATAGGAACGCACAGACTTAGTCATAAACAAAGTTATTCCAACACCATACTATAGATGGCGCTCTCACTATAGACCGCCACAGTAGAGTTTTGGGGGCTAATTTGCATAATTTTTGGAAGATCCACTTCTCATGAACAAATTACCATCTACACTCATCAAGGCATCCACACACCAAAAATAGAGTCAAATGGTTCGGCGGTTTTTGAGAAGAAGTCATGCACAGACAGATAGACGGACGACAGACGCAGGACAGAAACCCATCCCATAGGCTCAGCGGACCTATGGTTCGTTGAGCCAATCTATATGTATCAATATTCGGTACACAAACTGCATTTCCACATTTTTTCCCCAAAAAATGTACAATGTTTTATTATTCTAGTTTAAAAAGTTTATTCTGGTCACCTATCTATGTTATTTGTTATAAATGACATTTTGTAATTTATCATTCACAATGACATTCGGTTTAGACAGTTGACTGAGTAACCAAAACGTAAATAGAAACGAATATTTATAACTGTTCTGGTGCTGATATATTTTCTAAAGGGCTTTGTTCACGAAATAAACTGAGAAAACAAATCATAGCAAATTAACTTTATCATCCGCAAATTTTGTCATCATTTGATCTCCATCAGACAGACTGTACATCATTCTAGAATCACATCACTTTTATTTTTAGTAAGATATTGTAACCATGACAAACGCTATCAAATAAATTTGAACATGCCAAGACGATCATTTTTTAGTAGTTGATACAACGTATTTGACTTTTACCTGTTTGAATTGTTTGTGGTATTCCATTGACGCAGTTGTCACTGTGAACTTTGAACTAAAAATATTACACAATTTAGCACCATATCCATTACGACCACCTGTGAGAAAAAAAACAATCAATATTATACAATTTTCACTTGTACATCATCAAAATGAAATTGGTGAAGATATAAACCTGTATCTCTCTGTATCTCTCGAGAAGACTATTTGCAAATGGCAATAAGATCTCATAGAAAGCAAGACTGCTTTCGGTCCCAATTAGTGTTTCACTCCGTCAAATCATTGCTTCACTGTTTTGTATATTACCAGGATGCTTTGGAAGAGTGGATATAATGGTGGAAAGCAACATTTGGGAAGCAAAAACAAGCTATGTGGCTCCCTCAATCTCAGAACGATTTTGAAAAAACTATATATTTGAGTTTCATTTCTGACAATTGTCTAAAGTACCGTATTTATCCGGGTATAAGCCCAGGGTCTTGAACATGGAAAATTACCAAAAAGAAGGGGTGGGCGTTTGCCAGGAGATCCCCGGCAAAAAAAACCGAAAATTCGCGAAAATCGGCAACACGCAGTTCGATCGAACTGCGGCAGGAAATAGAACGGCAAATGAAAACATGCAACGGAAATAAATGAACAATATGCAACACTAGAAGTAGAACAAAAATAATGTATTGCTTATAATGTGACAAAAAACCAGAAATAATAAAAATCGACAGTGAGGAATCATTTGAATTAGGATTTTCCCGCCGACAAACACGCATGAAATCAAAATGAATTAAAATGTCAGGGGTTAAACTGCGTAAAATGATTTCCGGTCTCGACAAAATACGCATCAACCGTCATACAAGATCAATAATAATTTACACAGTAAAAATTATAAAAATTCATAGCTGTTTGAAAAAAAATTCTCAGAT